GAAGTAGTTCATCACTCCTTCTTGCTAGTCTGTCTTCGTCTGGAAGCTCATCTGAAACCTGTCCACCATGGGTGACCCTGCAACTCAAAAGCCACCAAAGTACGACAAACTCACAGACGAGTGGTGGGCCTAGGTAACTAGAGCCTCTCAAAAAGAAGCCAAGTTGCCACCGAAGACCCACTGTTTTCAAAATTTCTATAACCTAGGTGGCAGCTTCCACCTGCTCGAAAAAAAGTCAAATCAGGTTTAGAAGAGACTAAAAACAGCAGCTGAATGGGCAACAATCTGCGGTCTGATCTTAGAGCAACCTCCCTGAGATGCCGGGGTGATCGGCCTTCCTTCCCTCTCCATCCTTGTTAAACACAGAGGCAAGCAAAGGGGATACTACATGTGAATGTGAGTGCCTTTCTATGAAAAGTCGCTCTGCTCTGGGGTAACCAATGAGACATCCAAGGGAATGACAGCCACACTCCAGTTCAGCTGTCCTCAAAGCCTCCTCACAGATGCAAATGGATGCACAAAGGACAGGGAAAGTCACCCTGCTCCTCCTTGGTTCATCATGGCCCAGCAGCGAGTCCACCGGACCAAACAAGGAAAAGACAGAACAAAGCACTCTGATGATACTGATGGGTCATGATTTCCCAGTCCTCATAAAACTATGAACTTTTCAAAAATGTAGTTTTTATGTGGAGACTAAAATATGGGCAAAATTACCTCAGAACTGACATCTCAATGGCTTAATAAACCAAGAAAGGTCTAAGAAGGAAGGACAGCACTACCTAGTGGGCACTGCAGGAAAGTCCACCTACAGGAGACCAGCTCGGCCCAGGTGATGCGTTTCTATTGGTCCTCTGGATTTGCTTGCACTGCTGTTGTAGTTCGTGCCATCAAGTCAATTCCAGCTCAAAAACACTGCACAGGGTTGCCAAGGAGTGGCTGCTGGGTTTGAACTAACTTTGTGGTTAGCAGTTCAGGGTTTATCCTACAGCGTCACACCAGGACTTGCTTACATTGTGGTTGTTATGTGCTGTGCAGTAGATTCCAACTCATAATGACCCTGTTTCTGAAGAGTGGCTGGTGAGTTTGAACCTGACAGTTCAGTGCTTATCCTACAGTGTCATATTAGGGGCAGTAAATCCTCCAGTTTTACCAACCGTGACCTCTACATCTTGTCTTCCTCCTGCTTTCCTGACTCTTAAAAGAGGACAAACACTAAGCAAGAAACGAAGGATAACTCATCGTTTTTGACTTAAATAAATCTGATAAAAGACTCTCAGTATTTCACTAGAGAACAGCAGACCAAAGTAAGGCTGGAAGAATTAGCTTTTTACATACATTCACACAACTTTCATTCCCAATGACCAAAGATAACTTAGAAGTTACTGTATTTAATCAATAGTGAAGACCGTATCCTTTCTTACTAGAGATTCATTCACTCAGCAAACATTTCCTTATGCGTTGGCACTGTGTACTCATTGACGCCTCTCAGTAACCTTCGATGGCAACATTAACATCTATGCTGTTAACTTACTGCTCAAAGGGCACACTACTAGAGCATGGCTGGGGTAGTAGCCTTACCCAGAGAGGCTGCTCCAGAATCCAGTCTTAATCACTGTGCTCTGCTAAGTTGGCCTTGTCTGCCTCACTAGCCAGTTCCACCTCAAGAAGGTTTTATCACACAGAATATTCCCTCCCACTAAGACAATTAGTCTCTGTATACCATAAGAAACTGATTACCTCTGAAACCTGTCTCCTTTTAGTCCCCTTGTACAAGCTCTCACTGTTGTTGTAAAGTGCCATTGAGTCAGTTCTGACTCACAGCAACCCTGCATAGCGTTTCCTGGTAGGTTTGAACCATGGACCTTGCAGTTAGCAGCTCAAGCTTATCCTACAACACCACACTAGAACTCCATTTGTTGTTGTTGTTAAGTGCTGTCGAGTTGGTTCCAACTCCTGTATAGGGTTTCCAAGCAGCAACTGGTGGGTTTGAACTGCCAACCTTGCAGTCCACTGCTTTATCCTACAGCGCCACACCAGAACTCCACATTGCCTCATGATACATTTCTTTGCTACCTATCTAGTGTTCACCCAATGCCCAAGCCCTAGTCCATCACTCTCAGGCACAAACTATATTAGAGACTCTCCATGCTCCATGAAAATTCAAGTCACATAACCCCTCCTCAGCCTCGCACTTAGGGATTATTAAAAACCAGGAGTTAGAAGCAGAAAATGTGGGACTCCCATTTTAGCAAGGTCACTCATGAGCTGTGAACCCTGGACAAATTGCTCATTCTTCTTTGACCGATTTAATTCTCCGTAACTACCTCATAAGGAGTCTTGGTGTGGCGCTGCGGATTAATGCACTGGACTGCAAAGTCAGTTGGAACCACAAGGTTGACAGTTCAAGCTCACCAGTGACACCTAGGAAAGCCTATACACAGTTGCTATGGGTCTAACGGCGCCTAACAACAACAAATGCATAAAAGTGGAATCAAATAAGACATTTAGAAATATTTGGCACAGTGCCTACATTACACTATGTTAAGGCTTCGATGAAAAACCACTTCTCTGTGAAACACCCCCAAACTCCCCAAAAGAACCAACCTTTGTATTGGTATTTGCCTAGCAGAATTTACCACATCCTATCTAATTTGTCCTGGTGTGGTGATGTGGATTAATGTGCTGGACTGCAAGGTTGATTTGGACCTCAAGGTCGGTGATTCAAGCTCACCAGCTGTTCCTCAGAGACCCTATACAGAGTCACTATGAGTCAGAACCGACTCAATGGTACTTAACAACAACAATCTAGTTTGCAGGCATGGGTTCTACATACCACACTCTGCTTTCCCTACATGTATATCCATTCCTTGAGAAAAAATTCTATCTTCTACAGATCAGAAAACCCCCTATAACTTGTGGCACAGTGTCTTGTCTGTGATATGTGATCAGAGAATGTGGGTGAATTGAATTATGTGTCCTCCTGGCAAGGTTCTACCCCAGAAATGATGGTCTTACTTCAAAGGAAGTCAGTCCCCTTACTGCCCATCACTCCAGGTTTATTCCAATGACAATGGCTTGTGGAATGCACAGTCAGCGAAGCTGATAGGTCTGCAACAACTAAGCCCACATCCATCAGGCCTTCTGTGAGTGGAGGTGGGGGATGCTGTGAAGGGTGTGGGTGCCCCGCAAGCTTCACTCACATACCTGGGATCATTTTGATTGTGGTGTTCACTTCACTCCATTTGTGCACCTGGTCAAACTTCCAGTCCAGAATGAAGTTCCCATTATCCGTCACCACAGGACCCTAGAATAGAATTTCCATGTTGACTGAGGTAGGCAGAGAGAGGGACAGAGAAAGAGTAGGTGACAACCAAAGACTAGTACCCTAATGAGGTTGGCTCCAACCAGTACCTGCCTTATGCTTTCTACAAGGTAGTGTCAGGAAGCAGTAACAAACAAGTTTGAGAATCAAAAATTCTGGATTTCTGTCTTGAGGCCGTAAGTGTGGCTCTGAGAGGAGGCTTCAACCTCTATGAGCCTCAGATTGCTGCAAAAGTGATGATGACATCTACTTTGGAAGCCAAGTTACATGAAACTGCACGTGTGACCAGCGAGCACAGCCATTACATTGCTATGAGTCAGAATCGACTCAAAGGCACCCAACTTGGAACCTAAAACACTATCTGGCCTGTACTTTCCCAAAGTCTGGTTTAGCACGATAAACAAGGGTACCCCAGGCCATCCAAGGGGCTCACGTTTGAAGGTAAGACGACCTTGGGGGACTGCAGACTGCAGAAAGAAAGTTTCTCTTATTTATAAAGAGGCTACACTGTCATTGTTGTTAAGTGCCGTCAAGTCAATTCCAACCCAGATGGACCCTGTATAGGGTTTCCAAGGAGAGGCTGGTGAGCTTGAACCACTAACCTTGCAGTTCAAATAACTTTGTAGTCTGATGCATTAGTCCACAGTGCCACACCAGGACTCCTAAAGAGGATCTACATTTTATTAAATATAGTCTTAAAAAATATATATGGTCTTGAGATCCTGGTGTGATGCTGTAGGATAAGCAATGGACCACAAGTTCAGTTTGAACCAAAAGGTCAACGGTTCAAACCTACCAGTCGTTCCTTGGAAACCCTATACAGGGTCACTATGAGTCGGAACCAACTCAATGGCATTTAACAACAAATATGATCTTATCTACATGAGCTTAAATATAGAAATGAAAATGCTAAACTAAAACAAATTCATCGCTTTATAAGAAACAACTGCTGGGTCTAGCACAGTGGAGAGCAGAAAGGAGGAGTCTACACTGAGCACCAAGTCCACCCTCCAGAAGCCTCCACGGACACTCACAGCCTTGTTGACGGCCATTCGTAGTTCAACCACACCCCCAAACTTCTGGGCCACAGCGCGGCTCACAGGGACATAGGCCATTGGGATGACCTCAATAGGGATGCCCTTATGCCACTGATCTCCAAGGTTCTTTGAATCCTTCCTGAAAAGAAAAAGTCAAAAAAGCAGTGAAAATAAATATGCTTGATGAGAGAGAGGTAAAGATCAGATTCAAGAATGGGGTTAATTAAACAACAATACAACGCTGGCTATGAGAATCAGCTTCCTTCCACTGAAGGAGACTATGTCCTTGCATTGCCTGCTGAAACCACATAGGCACAACTTTTCCCATGGTTCCTGCTTCCACAGTTGTTCCCCTGACCATCCCTCCTTCACTCCTAGTGTTGTCAGAACAAAAGGCTGGTCCAGTGACGGACACTCTGGAGGCATTCAGGATGGACTCACAACCAGCATGGTAGCAGTTTATGCAGAATTGGACGTCCCAGCCTAAACTACCAAACTCCTGAAATTGGAGGCAAAGGTTGTGTCCCCGTAAGTCCACTCGTAGATTGGTTTGAGAAAACAGTCCACCAAGAGAGTCCTGACTTCTACTTGACCAAAAATTAGTTGTTGTCAACTCAACTCCCAACTTAGGGTGTCTCCATGTGTGTCAGAGTAGAATTTTGATCCCCAGAGTTGTTTGCTTTGTTGTTGTTTTATTTTATTGTGTTTTTAGTAAAAATTTACATGGCAGAAAAAAAAAAAAAAAGAATGGCGTTGATCAGATGCTGGAAGGACCTGGGAAATGTTCAGGAACCAATAACATACAACAAATGTGTTGACTCTTTTACTAAGAAGAGATATTTGGAATTAAACAGGACAAAAATGTTAAGATGTGACATGGTTGGTTTGTGGGTATACAGGTATCTGTAATATTATTTATGATCACTCTATTGCTAGTATATTTTATAATAAATAAGTGTTGCCAAGTAAGTTCTGACTCACAGTGACCCTGTATAGGATATCCAAGGAGCAGCTGGTAGATTTGAATTGCCACCTTACTGTTCAAGCCTACTTTGCGGTCCAGTGCTTATCCTTCAGCGCCACACCAGATATCTAAGATGCTCAACACTAGTGTCATCTATCCAATGCCTAGTCAAAGACTGCCCACAAACCAAGTCTGGGTGGCAAACCCTGAGCGCCGCTTGCCCTACTTCCTCAGGATCCACTGAGGATGAAACAAGTGATACAGGAAGACACACTGTTAGCTAGGCAGCAGCAGTTTCTGTTCCCTTCTAATGAGAACACAAAGTAGAGTTGAGATCCCAGAGTGATATGATCCATTAGCAATATCTAACTTTAGTATGGAGTCCTGGTGTGGCACTGTAGGATAAAGCACTGGACAGCAAGATCAGTCTGAACCAAAAGGTTGGTGGCTCAAATTTACTAGCTGCTTCTTCGAAACCCCACATAGGGATGCTATGAGTTGGAACTCACTCAATAGCACTTACCAACAACTTTAGGATTGAAAGCAGAACATACACGTCATCCAAAACTCTGCCATAAGTCCTAGCCACTAGTCCTCAAGATCTCAGAAAGCCAGATAGTCCCTCCATTTCTTTATTTCCTCCTTTATAAAATGGGGTCCAGTCTACCTCCTTCTGGGCAGCTGAGAACACCGGCCACCATACCTGAAATCAGCAATTACAATGAAGCGACTTGCATAGCCAGCCACAATTTTCTCTTGGGTCAGGCAGCCTCTGAGAACAGAAAGAAGCAAAAGAATACAGGAGTAAGAAAAAAAAAAAAAAAACCCTCCAATCTGAGAACTAAGATCAGCTATTGGCACTTACAGAGAAATTTAACTTGTTACTTTTAAAGAGATGGCCACAGCCCCATCATGTTGCTTCTATTAAATAGACCACAGAAAGGATGGCATGTATCTGGGAGACCCAGAGCCTGGACAACAGGTCCCAGTCAGATTAGTCATAACCTATCCATGAAGCACCCGAGAGGCAACACTGTGTAGCGAGAGATGTCATCAGGATATCATGTGCAAAGAAGAGCCTATCAACTTGCCAAGTCAGGAAAAGCTTTGAAGACCCTCCCCTATCAGCTATCAGACAGCTGAGGTGATGGGGTGAAGAACACAGGACCCTGAATCAGGAGATCTGGACCCAAACCTAACACGGCTGCTTACTGACTAAATTATTTAACTGCAACCAGGAAAATCAAATAATTCATATGAAAACATCCTATAAACAATAAAGTATAATTTTTAAAGTCTGAGCCACAGAAGTCTGCTTGATTATAAGAACCAACAGAACAAGACTTCATCGTTTTCAACTGACCATGTGGCCCCAATGCAGCACTTAGGAATATTCAGTGTTTTCCATAAGAATCAGTGAGTGCATTCCTAACTACACTCAGGCTTAAAGCCAAGGTCACACGCTGGTGTCCACATACCTAACCCAACCCAGGGATATGCTCAGTTTGGGCTCGGTTTGGTCGGTACCATTTCTCAGGCTGAATCAGAAGCAGCAGATCAGTAGTTTCCCTGAAATGGGTAGCACGCTCCATTCCAGTTCACCACAGTCTCCCCCACTACCTGTGACACCTTGCCTGTTTCACATGCTGTAACCAGGCTTTAATGGAAGAGGCTCCCTCTTGTGCATCATAGCAGTGTCAACAGCATCCACGCTGCCGTGGAGTGCCTGACAGACCCGCAGCTGCTCCTAGCAGGACCTTTCTGCCTCTTGATGAAACCATAAGTAAACAAAAGACTGCAGAGTTCCACAACGAACCCATTAAGAGCACCCGGTTTCTAGTCACCAGATCATGGCTAATGACCAGAAATGCCAAGCTGGCTCTAAGGCCAGATGCTAACTATGTCCCAGCAGAAGACATGCTCACACACCTCCCCACAGCAATTTGTTTATTCTGTACACCAGGTCTGCTTTGCTACTGATTAACTGGCAGATCCTTTCTAGCATGAAAGTCCCCACAACACTCACCCACCACCCTTGATGAGATTGAGGTCGGCATCTACTTCATCAGCACCATCGATGGCGAGGTCAATCTATGTTGGGGAGAAGGGAAAACAGAAAAACCACTAAGAGTCCTATTCAGTGGCAGGTAGGTCTGCTGCTGGTAAAAGCTGGTTCCGACTCATAGCGACCCCATGCAGGATTCCGGTTTGCAGTCCAGTGCTGAACCTATAGCACCACACCGGGAGTTGATAGGTAGGACTCATTTAGCTTATCGAGAAATGAGGCTCCAAGAGGTTAAATAAGGAAAACAGTGCAAGGCCAGGGATCCCCATCTGCAGCTTTATCCACAACACCCCACTCCCTGATCTCGGTGGTGGCTCTGCTCTGGACCAGCTGGAATTATGCTGAGTATGCATCACACAACAACACAGTCACTATACTGGGGATGATAAATCGAGGAGGAATGGCATCACACTCATTGTCAAAATGAGCATTTCAAAATCTATCCTGAATTAAAATGTCAGTGATAGGAAAATGTCCATATACCTACAAGGAAGACAAGTTAATACAACTATTATTCAAATTTACACACCAATCACTGCTGCCAAAGTTGAACAGAAGGCTTTTTAAAACTTCTGCAGTCTAAAATTGATCAAACAAGCCATCAAGATAATTACTGATAATTACCAGTGAGTGTAATGACAAAGTTGGAAACAAAGGAGGTTCAACAGTTGGAAAACATGGCCTTGGTGACAGAAATGACACCAGAGATCACATGACGGGTTTTGAAAAAGGTCAATGACTTATTCATTGCAAATGCCTTTTTAAGAGCATCAACAGTTACTATACATGTATAACTTCACCAGGTAGAATATACAGGAAGCAAATCGACTCCATCTGTGGAAAGAGAGGCTCATTATCATCAATCAGAACAAGGCCAGTGCCAACTGCAGAACAGACCATCAAATGCTCATATCCAAAAAAGGATGAAATGAAAGAAAATTAAACAAGTTCATGTATGACCTTGAGTATTTCCCAAATGAATTTAGAAACCACCAGAAGAACAGGTTTTACGCATGAACACTAAAGACTGAGGACCAGGAGTTGTTAGATGACATCAAGAACATAAAATATGAAGTAAAAGGTCATTAAAAAAGAAAAGAAGAAAATGCATGCCAGACGACTGTGAAAGTTGCTCTTGAATAGAAGAAATATGACATAAATGAACAGAAGATTTCAAAGGGCAGCTCAAGAAAACAAAGTAAAGTATTATAATGAAATGTGCAAATACGTAAAGTTAGGAAACCAAGAGAAGAGTATGTTCAATATTTCTCAATCTGAAAGAACTGAAGAAAAAATTCAAGCCTCTAACTTCAATACTGAAGGATTCTGTGGGCAAAATATTGAATAACACAGAAAGTATCAAAAGGAGATGGAATGAATACCAAGTTACTGTACCAAAAGGAACTGATTAGCATTCAACCATTTCAGGAGGCAGTACATGATCAAGAATTGACAGTATTGAAGAGCTAGATGGTGCCCAGTTACGACTACCAACTACTCTGAAAGGGATCACATTACAGGGTCCTGGATAGAGTGGGAGAAAATGTGGAACAAGACTCCTAATTATTAAAAATACAAACAAAGGTCTTTACTGGTCAGTAAGAGACTGGAGGAATCCAAGACTATGCCCCTTAACCACCCTCAGGTCTGGAAAGGAACTCACCCACGTGGACAACTTTTCAGCTAAGCAGCAGATAGGTTTATAGGTGGGGACAACAACACTAGTAAGGTATGCTCATCGTGGAATGGTCAATCATTCAAAATCAAAAGGGCAGCAGGTACCTAAAGACAAAGTTGAGAAGGGATGGGAAAGTGAGTGGAATTCAGACAGGAACCACAGGGAGGAAGCGGGATACCTGTTGGTTTACATGGAGGGGATTGCAATCACTGAGATGAAACAAAATGTACGGTTTGTTGAATGTAAAGCTGGTAATATTCTCTGTAAACCTTCACTCAATTCACAAATAAATAAAATTTAATTTAAAAAAAAGAAGAAGAAGAACTGATGGTATTGAATGAAAATATATAAGCTACACTGAAGGCACTGGCAAAATACAAGGTTCCAGGTAGTAAAAGAATACAAATTGAACTGTTTCTACAAACTAATGCAGCACTGGAGACGCTCACTTGTCTATGCCAAGAAATTTGGAAGATAGCTTACATGTCCACCTGACTGGAAGAAATTCCATATTCACTTCCAAAGAAAGTTGATCCAACAGGATGTAGAAATTATCTATCAATATCATTAATGGAAGTAAAATTTTCTGAAGATAATTTTTAAAAATGGTCATAGCAGGAAACTGCCAGAAAATCAAGCAGGATTCTTAAGAAGATGTGGGACAAGGGATATCACCATTGATTTCTGATGGATCTTGGCTGAAAGCAGAGAACACCAAAAAGATGTTGATTATGCATCCATATCTAACTGTGTGGATCACAAATTATGGGTAACACAATGAAGAATGGGAATTCCAGAAGACTTTATTGTGCTCATGTGAACCTGTAAATACACCAACAGGTTATCATTCAAACTGAATCAGGGGATGTTGCACGGCTTAAAAATCAGAAAAGATGTGCATGAGGGCTGTATCTTTTCACCATACTCAGTCTGTATACTGAGTAATCCATGAAGGGGGACATAGGAAGAACACCATATAGAACTATATATAGTTCTATATATATAGAAAGACTATATATAGAAAGATTCATCAACTCCTCACAACAAGCAACAGCATAATTGTGGTGTAATGAATTGTGTGTCTCTCTAACCATACCAATGTAACTCCTACCAAACAATGTTTCTGCCCTGTTAGGTCTGAATAAGAGAAGGTATGGAAGAATATACTGTGAGGATGACTTGATTAAACTGTGGATATTAGCAAGAGTTCATTGCAACTGTAAAAATGTGAAACTGTAACATGGATATAAAATGAGCCATCTCAGAAGCAGGACGGGGCATCTTACTACCATCAAAGAAGAAGAGTCAGGAGTAGAGCACATCCTTTGGGCCCTGACATCCCTGCACACTGAACCTCCTCACCAGGGGACAGAAAGCTATGCCACTGGAGCAGTGGCAGAGAAGCAGCAATAACAGAACCAAGGGCCAAAGCAGGAGACAGAGCAGTGGGCATCTCAGCCCACAGGGCAAGATCCTTGCTTGTAGAGTGGGGTGTACCTCCATGCACTTAGTGGGCAGTTAGGTTTGCTGACCCCCGGAGCTAGAGCTGAGTGCCTTCAGCCTGAGGTCTATGGTGGACTGGTGTGTCCTATGGGCACTTATCAGGAGCTGACTGGAACAACTGTGCCCCGAGAATGTTCTGATTCTGTAGAGTAACCTGCTAACTTCCCTGATAAACCCGCTAACTGTGAAATGTTATCCAAGTTCTGTGTGGCCACTGCAATGGATTATCTAACACAGCTGAGTAAGAGGGGCTGTGGGAGGTATGATCTGAAATCATATTCTTTGTCAACACCAGAATTCAAATCAGTACTCATGGTACTCTGTTTGGGTGGGCTGTGTGGTTGTTATTGTCTCACCAGGTTGGTTCTGTCTGACTCATACAGACTCAGAGGATGTGAACCTCTGACCTTGTGGTTAACAGTCCAGGGCTTATCCTTCAGCATCACATTCAGGACCCGAAGTAGGCATTTAAGCAAATTTCATCCCAAGATGCAGTTACTCAGAAATTGCTGTGTGTGGCTGGAGAAGCAGTGGTTTAAAATCTACAAACTCCCATAGGGCAGCCTTGCTTCAATTCTTTCATAGAGTCTGATCTTTATCTGAAATTACAGCCTGCCTTGTTCCTCCACTTCTGCACTAACCCAGGGTTGGGCTGAGCCAGGCCACCTTTCCCAGGGCCCGGAAGGGGGTAAGCGAGCTTCCTGCCAGGGTTTCAGTCTAAACCACTCTTCCACTGTCACTAAACAACTGAGTCAATCTGTGCCCTGGCTCTAGCTAGCCTTTCCCAGGGTTCTAATCCTTTGTTAACCATAGCAACATGGTTAACTCCTTGCTGGATCAGTGCAGCTGCCACACCAAGTGCCCATCTTGCCTCCCACAACCTGTGCACCAAATGCATTCCACTCACTCTGCCCTAGTCATCCCAGTCAGTCTGGACACTGTCCACAAATGTCCAGGGGCCCACCTGGAACTTCTCCAGGGATTCCTATCTACCTCTTTCTGGCACGTTTTCAACTACCTTTGCCATCGGACCTACACAGCTCAGCTTAAACTTTACCTCTTCCTTGTAACTCGCAACATTCCAACGTCAGCTCAAATTCCAGCTCTGTCACTTATAAACAGCATGGCCTTGGCTTCCGTTCTTTGTGCCTTTTTTACATCTGTAAAATGGAATACTACTGACACCACCTCTGGATGACAGCTGGAGTTAACACAGACCCTGCACTTAGCACCACACCTGGTACACAGCTAAGAACTCAGTCCATCTCCTCTGGACTCCCCATGTGTTTCACAACCTTTACCACACAACTGCGTTTTAATTTTTCAAGTATACATGGCTATCTTGAATGGTTACTTATCTCCATTTAGTGGGAAGCTCCCTGGGCCAACCTGTTCTTACACTCCAATACAAGGACCTCAGGAAGCCCCGGATCTGGCCTTGGGTTGGTCCAATTCCCTTCACTACATTCATATGGAGCCCTTAGGGAAAACCACAGGGAATGTACTGTGAACTAACTAGCTCTCCACTTGTGACCTCAGGCAGAGTGAGTATTCAGGGGCTCAGGAGAAAAACCAGTATGACTGACTAACCTTTTTCCTACACCTAGTGAGACATCAGAAGTCCATAAACAAGTGATGGCCATGAAATGTCCTGTTCAGTCAGCAGAGTCGGCACATGTTACAATATGGATGGAGTTTGAAGACATTATGCTGAGTGAAAAAAGCTGCTCACAAAAAGGACAAATACAAGGGGGGGAATGAGGGGGTTCAAAGATTTTGTGAAAAAAATTTCATTATATTTTCATTCATTTTTCCACAAACTTTTAAAAAATCCACTCCTACTGGCACTATGGGATAAAGCACTCAACCGCAAGGTTGGTTTGAAACATGAGGTTAGTGGTTCACTCACCAGCCGCACCTTGGAAACCCTATACAATGTAGTTATGACTCAGAACAAACTTGATGGCATTTATCAACAATGTATTATATGACCCCACTTATATAAAAAGAGAAGAAAATACAAATGTACACAGACCATAGTTTATGAGTGGTTACTTGGAGTACTAGAGTGGCGTTGTAGGATAAACCATTGGACTGCTAACTGCAAGGTCAGTGGTTCAACCCCACCAGCGACTCCTTGGAAATCCTATATAGAGTCTCTGAGTCAGAACTGACTCGACAGCACTCACAATTTAACAAAACAGTGAACAAAGGGAGAGGCTGACTGTGATAGAAAATTCACATTGATAAAGGTTAGATTTTACAGTTGATTATTGTTAATTACTATCAATGAGCTATGTTTTTTCTGTTTGGTAAGTACTGTCAAGTCGTTCTGACTCATAGCGACCCTGTATAGGGTATCCAAGGAGCAGCTGGTGAGTTTGAATTGCCAGCCTTGTGATCAAAGTGACCTTTTGGTCCAGTGTTTATCCTACAGCACCAAGTTGAATAGGCAAAAACTGTGTGAAAAATATATTTCTAACAACAACAAAAATTAACTGAGTAGCTGCTTAGACTGTTTATCTAATACCTCAGGGGATCTGGTTCCTTGGATTGGAGGTGTAGGGTCATGATTTCATGACCTCCCAATTGACTGGCCTAATATAACACGCTTAGTGTTTCTATTCTCTTCTACCTCCTAGTTCTCTGCATAGTGCCTTGGGTCTTCAAAGCTTACTGGTGGCCATCCAAAGCACAGCAATTGGTCTCTATTCACCTGGAGTACTACAGGAAGCAAAGTCAAGACTAGGAGGCGGCTATGGAACATGTGGTTTAGTGGTCTCCATCAACAAATGCCTCCTCTGCCACGAGACCAGAACCGGATGGCGCCCAGCTACCATTACTCAACATTTCGACAAAGGATTACAAAGAATTCTGATCAAAGTGGAGAAAATGCAGAACAGAATTTCAAACCCATAGGGACTGCAGACATTCTGGAGCCATGGAGGGTATATGAATCCCTGGAACTATTGCCCTGAGATAACATTTAAACCTTAAAATCGAAAAAAAATATCCCTTGAAGTTTTCTTAAAACCAAACAGCAGCTTAGCTTAACTAGTAAAATGGTCTGCCTGGCGCATTCTACTCTCTTAAGAACTATCTACAGAGACTCAGTGTGACAACAATCGCTGGAAAGATTACATAGGAACTTCAGGGCACAGTGAGTCTATGTTAATGAGAGAGGAGCAAATCAGAAAAGGAGGGGGAGAACAGGTGTACAACTCAAAGAATGTCATCAATGTCACGAAATTGAATATGTAAAAACGGTTGAATTGATATATGTTTTGCTGTGAATATTCTCAGCAACAATAAAAATAAAATTTAGGGATTTAAAAATAAAAGCTAGAAAAATACAGCAGCCTGATTCTCTCCCCTTACCTCTGGGTGTCGATCCAAGTCACTAAGGGTTAAGCCATATTGCAAGATGAGTTGTCGGGCCTGCAGGGGACAAAAAAAAGAAATAGGCACCTATTATCATTTACTATGAGCACAAGGTGAGAACATTCTGAATTTTGGTCGGGGGTTAAGTTTCAATCACTGAGTCCTGACTTGGGTTCCCTCCTAAACTACGCCCACCAACAGACAGGAGAGATCCAACTTCAGGCATGCCAACTAACTCATCGAGGCAGACAAAAGAAGGCAACCACCACACAGTGAAGACTCCTGTCCAATGCTGAGCCCTTCTCCTCAGAGACCTGTGACTTAAGCCAACGTTACGGCTGCCTATAGTGTCAGCTAATGCACATACTAATAAAATGTAAGAGGCAAATCCACAAAGGACTAGCGACATTTCTTTAAACTCCAACAATATGAAAAAGAGACTGAGAAAGATCTCGATAAATTGAAATGGAGTGATTGCCAGGCCATGGTCTTAGAAAACAGACACTCTAAAACGAATACAGAGGCAGGACTTCCAGGAGGGTTGTGACAAGCTTAGCAAATCCTCTCAACAAAAGGTAGTGATAAAATGGAACAAAAGTTCTGATCAGGTTAAGAGAGAGGAAAGCACCAGACTGGGAAAGATTTGGAATGTGTGTGAAAAAAGTCAGCATCATGTCTTTATGGACACACCTGGAAGTTTACCTTTTAAAGAGGCTGATAAAAGCCGCAGTTACCGCCACCAGGGCCCTGAGCAGGAAGTCTAGCAGGAAAAAAAGGCACCAGGGAGCTTCAAGTTTGATCATCAACGTCAAAAGGGTGAGGCATGTCATTGCGTACTATGTGCAGAGGAACTCAGAAATGAAACTATTGTTTCCAAAAGGTTGTCTTAAAAATATTTTCTGCTTAAGGTGGGGAAAAAAAGGTCTGGCCCTTGGCAAGTTTTCTCATGAACAAAACAAAGGAAAGGATATAAGGCGGTTTAAGCTCCTTGGAAACCCTATAAAGGGTTCACTATGAGCCGGAACTGACTCAACGGCACTTAACAACAACAACCTTCTAATCCCAAATCCAAGAACTCTGTAGTAAGATAAACACAAACACCACAAAATTCACAATGTATGGGTTTTATTTGGATCCTGATTAACACAAACTGCAAAAAATAGTTTTAAAGGATTAAGACAATGGCCCTAAGACACTCTTCCGACTGGGAACTGAAGCCATTCCTGGAGATCACTTTCCAACCAAATAATTTTGTTGTTGTTAAGAGTCGGTTCTGACTCACAGCAACCCTGTAAACGGTTTCCAAGGAGCAGCTAGTGAGCTTGAACCACTGACCTTGCAGTCCAGCTTAGCACCACACCAGGCCCCAAAAATAAAAAATACCCAAGAGGAATGTTTGAAACAATAGATTATACAAACTCTGGTAGCATAGTGGTTACGAGTTAGGTTACTAACATCAAGGTCAGCAGTTCGAAACTATCAGTGGCTCCACAGGAGAAAAAAACGAGGTTTTATGTTCCCATAAAGATTTACACCCTCAGAAACCCTATAGAGGGTTGCTATGAGTCGGAACTGACTCCACAGTACATAACCACCACCAAGAGGAATGTTTGAAACAATAGATTATACAAGATCAAAAGGATATGTTGTCCTTTTTGAGGGGACATGTTGTCCCAAAAGCAAAGATGAGATCGCAGGAAGGAATAGAAAATTCAAACAGTAGGAGACCAGGGATCCCAAGATAGAAATGGAGACATTGCTGACACATTGTAGACAATACAAGCCAAGTCATGGAACACTATGTACAAACTATCAAATGGGAAGCAAATTTGCTCTGTAAACTTTCATCTAAAGCATACACAAAAACTTTTTTAAATAAAAGGCTATGCCAATAGGGTAAATGTGAACACTGAATACTTGATGCTACTAAGATGTGTTCATTTTTCAGTACTGTTGTGCTGTTTACATGACTGCCTATCTTTCAGAGAAACAAAATGGAATATATATATCTCTACACAAGGAGCTCTGGTAGCGTAGTGGTTACAAATCGGGCTGCGAACCTTAAGGTTGCCAGTTCGAAATAGGGAGAAATTCGAAATTGGCAGTTTGAATTGGCGTTCCATGGGAGTAAGATGAGGCTTTCTGCTCCTGTAAAGATTTACAGCCTCAGAAACCCTGTACAGGGTCACTATGAGTCGGAACCAACTCCATGGTACTTAACAGTTCAGGACACAGATGAAACAAAATCAGTCATAACTAGGTAACTGATGACTGGGTACAGGACTTTCATTAGATTGTTTTTTATATACTTTTCTAAATTTGAAATTTTCTATAATAAAAAGTTAAAACAAAATGCTGACCAAAAAGCATGCTCAAATTTAAAAAAAAATAGTATTAAGATTTTGATTCTTACTACAGAAAAACCTATAATGAAAAGTGGGGGAAGCAATAAAAATGGTATTGCTGGAAGATTTTTCAGCTCCTGGATTTCTCAAAAGTTGATGTTAAGGGCCATCAAGTCAATTCTATCTACCTCATAGTGACCCTGTATGGGGTTTCCCAAGGTTACCTGTCCAATGCTTATCTTAAAGCACGACACCAGGACTCCTCAAAAATAGTGGTGGAGAAGAGAGTAACGTGAAGAGAGAGGACGACGCGAAGATATGAAGTGCCTGGGGACTAGGGATCCAGAGAGGGAGAAGGGCTGTGTGCTGAGGACCGTGAGGGGAGGGTGGGCGGGATTGTAGGGTATACCCTTTGGTTGGGTGATGATGCATGGACGGGATGGTAACTATGGCAATGAGACAATGTATGATGGAATGAATGTAAAACTAATGTTCCCCCATGTAGCCTATCACACAATACCACAATACACAATAAAACATTAAAAAAAAAAAAAAAATAGTGGTGGAGAAGCCATTCTCTAACTCCAGACCCTGAAGTAGCATCTTCCAGTATAGCCCCCAACAAACCCCTCCCTCCTTGTCCTCATGGCCTTATGCAATTGTCCACACACATGACTGGACTGCATGACCAAAGACACACAGCAGAGTGGTGGCCTGACACCTGGAAGTTGAATGTGGCATCAGCCTGGGGAGGGGTGAGAGGCAGGCCTGGCACATTTGTACTCTCTGGAACACTCACTCTGGGGACACCAGCCACCATCCATGTCCTGAGGCCACAGAAACAGCCCTGTGCAAAGCTGAGGCCTGCAAACAGCCACGTGACTGGGCTTGGATGTAAAGTTGTCTTGGGAAGACTGCAGCCTGGCTAACAGCATCACTGCAGCCTCCGGGGAGGACCAAAGCCCAAACCACCTGGCTGAGCTTCTACAGATTCTGGACCCTCTGAAACGACGTGAGATAACGTAGGTTTGTTGTTTTAAGCTGCTAAATATTAGAATAATCTGTTCTACAGTAGCAACTATCTAACCCTGGGGTGTCAGAAAAATGCTATAAACTGCATTGTAGTGTCGTGTGCTACGCTGGCATGGTGAGATGTACTATGCTAGACACACTGGGACTTCCTGAAACCACAATGAACTGCCTACACACGTTATATATTACTTAAGAACTAGCTATTAAGAAACTATTAGCACACTTTTTATGAAAAGATCTGAACAACTGTTATGGCTTTAGTTAGGGCATCATTTCTTAAGTTCAAGGACTGCTTGCTACACTTGACAGTAGAATTGTTCATGAAGATTTCCTACTTGCTCATTTACGTGGTGATCAGTGCTGCTGTTAAGTAACACTGAGCCAGTTTCGACTCAGAGACCCTGTAGAGGGTTTCCGATGAGCACCTGGAGGGTTTGAGCCACCGACTTTTGGGTTAGCATTCCAGTGCTTATCCTACAGCACCGCACACCAAGACTCCCAAAGTAAAATGCACCTCTAAGACTGAAAATAGGGAACCAGAGATACAGTTGCAACAAAAACAGAAAATAAAAAGAGGGAATAATTCAGTTACAGAACTTATCAATTTAGAGGAAATCAAATATATTTCAACAAAAAACTAAAAAAATAAAAATAAAACGGTAATAACAAAAACTAGACCAAGCCTTAATCCTAGCCCTAACCCAATCCCTGCTAGACTTTTCGTGTGGTGCTGTGGGATCAGCACTTGACTGCAAGCCACAAGGTCAGCAGTTCAAATCCACCAGCTGCTCCTCTGAAGCCCTATACAGGTTGCTGTGAGTCGGAACCAACTTGACAGCACTTAACAACAAAATCATCCCACCCTTGCCTCTAGCACTAACCCTACTCCTAACCATAACTCTAATAATAAACTAAGTCCTAGGCCTAGCCCAGATGGACCCATAGTCCTAAAACCTTACTCCTACCCACCCCATCCAACAACAAAAAAAGTAGAGTAATAAATATTCTGGCTTCCTTCCAATCATTTCAGAAGACTGTGTATGACTAAACTTAATACAAAAGTTGAGACTGAGAGTTAAAAACGACTCTAAATAAAGGGCTCTTTTAACGCCCAGTGTACTCGGAGTGGCTCCTCCACCTAATCAACGGCAATTGGTCAGCATTTCCTAATCTGGGAACACTGTATCAACCCCACCATAAAACCTAGATGGGTTAGGAAAATGCTATCTGAAAAACACAAGATCAAACGTCTAGGTAAAGATAACAACTTGAACACCTGTACTTAGCTCAGCTCTCTTCCAAAACTTCTCTAAAATGTTTTTTTGGTTTTTTTTTTTTTCTTAAAGCCATAAGCCTCATGGAGAATAGGAGAAAACAGCAAGCAACTTTCAAAAGCTGGGCACTGCCAGCCAATTGGTGAATGGCAGAACTGAGAGCAGACTCAGGCCAGCACTGAAGAAAGCAAAGCAGTAGCCATGTTAACACCAGGAGATGCAGGAATCAGCGGCATGGCGAGCTTCTGGAAGCGGCAGGGGCAATGCGAGTACAAAGGGAAGACACCAGGCAAAACTACTGTAGAAGCTGTTGCACCTCCATTCCTTGTCCCTCCTCCCAAACAGCGGGTTTATTCTCTGAGGCAAGCTGCCACGCAGTCAGTCAGTCATCCGTGTGCTTCCATTGCACAGCATCTACCCCAAACCGCAGTGGCCTAGAGCAGCAGATGTTCATTACTTCTCACAATTCTGTGGACTGACTGGTCTAGGATGGCCTCACTCACACATCTGGGACTGCTCTCCACTTGGTCTCACCCTCAGGGAGACCAGTAACAAGAGGGGTGAAGCCCTGATGCAAATGTATTTTCCAACTTCTGTTTGCATTCACTTGGTAATGTTCCACTGGGAAAGCAAGTCTACTAGTCAAGGCCAGATTCATGGAGATACTGCAAATTTCTATGGGTATTTTTCCCTCTACAAACCAATACTACTGCTGAAAGAAGAAAAATGAAGTGCAAATTTCTATTCAGGATACTGAGAGACACCGTCCAGCCCTCTTCACCCACTTGGCTCCTAGGACACTTCTCCAAAAATAGAGTTTGGCCAAGAGGAGGTCACCAAGGTAATGGTTTGGCAAACAACCCTTTTCTTGGAAGCTAGATTCCAATTAGTTTCTTAGCATATCCCTATTCAAAAGAAACAGCTAAGAAAAGCATAAATATGGTAAAATCCAACAATACTTTTAACTGTGTTGGTTATTACCTGGCTGTATATATCTGTCAAAACTTAGAACTATACCCTTAAAAAGATGCATTTTTACTCTATATGGATCCTACCTCCAACAAAAAAAAAGCAGCTTCAAGAAAACCAGTTTCAAAACAAAAAAAAACAAAACAATTTGCTTTTTAAAGACTTTAAACAAGAAAAGTGTTAGAAGAGGACGGAGCTAAAAAGTTCTATCAGAAATTAGAATAAACGTAGAGTAGACTAGTCCACAAACACCAAAGATGGTCCTAGAAACGGACATGGAAAACCCGAGAAAAGCAAAGAACTAACAGAGAATAAAAATAGATTTCGTACAGAGGATTAAGAATCACAATGGCTCAAGCTTCTTAATAGAAAAACTGAAAACCAGACGACAGCCGAGAAGTACCTACAAAAGTTCAAAGGCACAATTTAGCCCAAAATTCTCTACCAAGCAGGATGACTGACTGCAAGAAGGGGTTTTTGTTGTTGTTACATGCCATCGTATCAGTTCTGACTCAAAGCAATCCTGTATAAGGGTTTCTGAGGAGCAGTCGTTGAGTATGAACTGCCGACCTTGTGGTCCAGTGCTTACCCTACAGAGTCACACCAGGACTGCGCAAGAAGGGGGCAGAATCAATGACGATATTTGCAGAAATCCAAAGAGTCACCAAGTTTGCCTCCCATGCATTTGGGAAACTTACCTAGGATATGCTTCATCAAAACCAGTAAGAAAACAAAACAAAAGGGAAATGAATGGACAAGAGAGTCGTGGGCAAATAGGTTCCTGATACAGGAAGATCCAGAATATGAGAGAAGAGAATGAAATTTCTGGACAGTGAAGGGAGACCCCAAGACAACAGCTGAGAGCACTCACCTCCAGCACTGCCAGCTGCAGGGCACCAGAGACGAAACTGATGGTGGAATCCCCACTGTGCCAGGAAGAACTGAGCTTTCCCCAACTACGTAACATATGAGGTCGAGCTAGACAAGCAAATGAAAACCCAAGGCAACAGAGTCTCAACTCGGGTGAAAAGCAGAAAACTGGCTAAGGAGCCCCAGCATGGCACTACAGAGTACGCACTGAACTGCTCACTGCCAAGGTCAGTGCTAAACCCACCAGCCACTCCTCAAAACCCTTACACAGGGTCGCTCTGAGTTGGAATCAACTTTGCAGCATTTAACAACAACAAGGAAAAACAGCTATACCACATGGTTCAGCTGTAGTTTGCTGTCACAGTTCTATAAAAACTGAGTAATGGCCTAAACAAAATGCAACTACACTGGGAAGAATGGAGAGGTGAGGGGTGTGTACAACATGAGAGCAAGTAGGTAAAGGAGACCCAAATGCTCATCTTCTATACTCCCACTGTTCACGGTTAGAAATAGTACTTAAGAGTTGGAAAAATACTCTGCAAGAAAACCATTAAAAGGGTTAAAAGCAAGGCCCTCTCGTGAATAAGAAATGGTAGTGGAGAGGGTACTATTTTCTTAAAAGACCTGAATTATTGGACTCTTTAATCCATGTCCCTGTATAACTGATTAAAAACAAAAACCAGTATCAAAAAATGTACTGAATAAGAAATAAAATACTAGATGCTTAAGTCACTTGGAAAAATGAGACACTCAGCTTTCCAAAAGAAAACCCACCCCAAGCCACTTTGACTCTAAAAGTGTTTTCTCAGACAGCAGCATTTCAGATACAAAACCTTTCCTTTTCTACTGCAGGAAAGAGGAGTCATGGTATTGTTTTCAACCCCCTGGATGCTCACCCATCTTGACAAGGTCCCCAAGAACATCAAAGACCTTCTGATAGTACACACTGTCCTAACTTCCTATCCTATCTACCTGAAGTCCCTGTCCTATACAAGCCTGGCTTAGAAGAAACTTCATGGGGTTCCTTAACCCCTTTCTTTCTTCACCAGAGTAGACGGCAGGCTGCCAGCACTCTGCAACTCCAGCCTCCAGAAATGGCAGGGTTTCCTGGGCCAAAACTAAGTCCACGGAGTTCCAGGAGTACCAACTGCCTGCAAATCCAACCTGCCCTCCCAGTTCATAATGTCACCTTGATTAATCCAATCAAAGGCTGGGTTGCACACACCCCTCTCAAAATGGCCATCGTCAGAACTCGGGAAGGAGGAACAGCTCTCTCTGTAGTAAGCACCTCTCTCCCATTCCATTTTCCTGAATCAACTCTGGACTCATCTTTCCCTGTACTTAACTGGTTCCAGTGCTTTCCCTCGTTAGCCTCTACTATTTCATGATAAAAGAACATTAGATATGGAACCAAAATAATTTATGTGCATTACTAACAGATCACTGAAATCTTTGCAGCCTCAGTGTTTTCAACATTCCTTGAAGACAGAAACCATGTGTGATCATAGTCCATGGTGCCTAATGCAAGATATGCTAAAAGAGGAGAAAAAAATTCAGAGCGAATGAATGAATCGAAAGCCAGACTTCCAAGGAACAACTGTCAACCAATAAACTCCTCTCCTGCTCCTGGCTCTTTCACTAGAACCACCCTGGTGTACAGCCCAAAGCCACACATCCACACCACCTTCAGGGAACCAAGAGACTGAGCAGCAGCTGCCACAGGTGCAGAGTGAAAAGCAGGACATACCTGGAAGGAAGTGGGGATGCAGACGAGGTTCAGATTCTCTTGTTTCACTCTCTCGGCTGTGGAGACAAAAGCCGTGTTGGTGGTTTTCCATCTCCTCACTTTATTGTTCTAATCCCATGTAAGGTCTGTTTAAGTTCAACAGTAAGAAAAAGGTAGTCTCTCCTACTGACAGCTGCCTTTCATTCTGTGTCCTACCGTTTGTAGGAAAACTGGTGACCACCCTTTACTCACATCACAAGATATGGATGCTATAAAGTCCAAGGCAGAAAATACTAATTACAGAAGAACGAGTGTTTGCTACTTGCACACGCCTGGCAACAGCCTAAGAACTTTGTACATAGAACTCTTTTCACCCTAACCACCCAAAGCTGAGTTATTACTATTAGCCCCATTTAACAAACGAGGAAGCTGAGGTACAGAGAGGTGCGTTCACTTGCTAATTACACAGCTAATAAGCTGCAGACCCTACATGTGATCCCAGGTAGTCCAGCTTCACAGTGTTAACGCTCCTACATTGCCTTTTCCAAGAAATAATTAGAACTTTACTTCTGCATTTAATAAAAATAAATTATAATCATTTGTAAACCGCAGAAATTGTTCAAAAGAGGACTTATTTACTCATTTTGGATCTGTACTTCTAAAGAAGCTTTATTGTATTAAAATGAGTTTAGGAAAAAACTCTTATCACACCAGTACAACTGCTCCTTGAGGACAAAGTGTTCCTGGACTTTGTCTCCCAGGCCCTGCCCCTTGGCATCTAGAAATTGAGATCAGTGTTCAGAAAACGCCCCTCCTCTGAGTTTTCTTCTTACCAAACAAGAGCAGGGCAGTAAAACCTGTTGGGCAGCCCCAGGGATGGCAATTCCTAAGGCTTTTCTTAGCACTAAGACACCTAATCAGAATGAAGTTAGCACCTGCTAGAACTGGCCACCAACTGCAGGAACCTCACTTCAGCTCCACTGCAGGGTCACAGAGAGGGCCTACACCCACTCTGACCTCAGTCTGTTTGCTACAATTTTCAAAAGGCCCAGCGCAGGGTCTCTGCTCTCTACACAGAACAGAAGCATCATACCAAGGTGATTAAAATTCTGCAGAGACCCTGACCTACCTATAATCAGCTCCTCTACTCCAGCTAAATGGAGTCCACAAATTAAGGGCATCCCCCAAAGTCGGCTGAAGAGACCCAGGAATCCCTCTCTCCAGAGAAGAGCAGACAATGTGCAACAGGCCTAATAGCAGACAGGCAGGCAGCGAGGCAGGCAGGCACCAGGCAGGCAGTGAGGCAGGCAGGCAGGCAGGCAGGCAGGCAGGCAGCCCCTCTAAAACTCTGTACTGATGGAGCCAAGCTGGGCAGGTACCAATTCTGTTCCTCACTTCCTACTCCCTCCTCTATCTCTCGGCCCCCATCATCCTACCCAAAGTGCCCAGTACATACACCCCCAACATACCTATTCGCTGCACAGCATGGACAATTGTGGAACCGCTTCCAATCCCCAGCACTTGGTTATCCTGCCAAGAGGATGAAAACAAAACTTGTTAGTATATATACTACTCCCTCTTTGTAGTCCTGGTGTGGCGCTGCAGTTAATGTGCTGGATTGCAAGGTAGGTTTGAACTGCAAGGTCAGTGGTCCAGGCTCACCAGTCGCTCCTCGGAAACCCTATCCAGGGTTATTATGAGTCGGAACCAACTCGACGTCACTTAACAACAACAACTCCCTCTTTAACACACCTCCAGTGGGATAAATATTGAGCTGTTAACCACAAGATCAGCAGTTCAAATCTACCAGCTGCTCTGCAGGAGAAAAACAAGGCTTTCTGCTCCTATAAAGATTTACAGCCTCAGAAACCCTATACAGGGTCGCTATGAATTGGAATAGCCTCAATGGCACGCAGCAGCAACCGCAGCTAACCAAATAGATGGCAGTTCAGGCTCTCCAGCCACCTGCGGGAGGAAAACGATGCTGTCTGCTCCCATAGTTTCACAGTCTCAGAAACTCTATGGAGCAGTTCAGCTCTGTCCTGTGGGGCTGCTGTGAGGTGGAAAGGATTCACTGGCAGTGGGTTTGGGTTTTAGCTCACTTCCTGGAGTTATCAAATTAGTCTATGAACAGCAATTCACCAACACAGGTGCAAGGTAGTTACTGTGCTCACTATACAGGAACCTAACTTAAGCACTGAGCTCCAAAGCCGGGCTTTGTCCTCATGCCCAGTGGGCAATGTGTCAGCAGAGCCCTCTCCTCCCTTCACCTCTGACACACAGGCCACCACCTCTTCCTCCTTCCACTCTGGCTGACTGGATTAACCACTTACAGCACACACCCCACAGGCAGGACACGCACACGAATGCCAAAGATTCTTGGCCAACCCCAGGCAGCAATCACAAAGAAAAGCCCTAGGAAAAGACAATAGAGTCTAGGTGTGGCCACAGAGGAAAGTGGGGTTTCTGGCTCCAGTGCCTGCTCCACAGGCTCAACCTCCAGAAGGGTGACCACGTGCACATCAAGCTGGTGGCACCGCGGGGGGACACATCAGGCCCACCAGAAGAGCTCCCGCACAGTCAGCAAAGAAGATGTCTAAAGTAACCGCAAAACAGCACACCAGTGTCTGGCAGGCTGACACCGCGGGGTCCTCAGTTCCCCAGAGAATCTGAGAGGAGACAGAAATGGCCTTCATCTGCAACAGGAAGGATTTGTAATCAGACTACAAAAGACGAAACACAAAACGTGGTGTCACAAGATTGATGCTGCCATCAACCTTACTGTCTTATGAAAGCAGGGCGGGACGTATGTATAAACAGACCAGGGGCAAAGCGTGGGCTTGGCTGAAATCAGTTAAACCACAAACAGCGAAGTAAGGTCAGAATATTAACTAATGATCAGGAACAAGTAGAGCTTAAGCTAGATTAGGATTCCCCCTAAATCTATGTCCTAGGGATGGTATTGTGTAGCTGCTAGACAAACCCCAAGAGTTCCAATCTACTGAGGAAAAAGGACTTCAAGTGAAAGGTACATTGCAACACCAAAAAACATTCAAATAGCTGAAAATCTGGCTGTAGAACAATCTTAAGTGACTGAGAAAATGAAGTTACAAGTGCCAGGTAGACTTCACCAGAACCTGAAGCTTTCAGCTCCACCTATACAGCAACTGAACTGCGAGGTTCTTCATTATCATGTCTGCCCATACACATGGCACCAACAGGATCCCAGCAGGCAGGTGACATACGGGTGACCTTGGGTGAGTCAGACAAGCTCCTCTCTTGGCTGCTAGAGGAAGCCTGCTATACCCATGCTCCCAGAGGACTGGTCCAGGAATCAGCACCCTAGCCAAATCAACCAGAGGTGAGCAAAGCTGCTGCCTGTGAGGGGGCCCAACAGCAGGGCCCTTCTAATGGGCAAGACTACACTCATCATGCGCCCACCAGGCTCACCTTGTCCACTGGAGTAACTAACTTGGGAGATACTTCTGCTGACCAGATGAAACTAACAACCAGTTGCTCCCAGCTAAGCCAGATAAAGAACGCCCAGGCCCTGAAGGGATAAAGGATGCAGCCATAGACTTTTAGATGCTTCAGGAGAGCATGACACAGCATGGTGACTTAGGCTGGCTACACAGGTAGACGTGAGCTGAGAACCCGCCAAAGGCTCATCCACCCTAATATGGAAATGGCCACCACATTGGTACACTAATGGACTGTTGTTGTTGTTGGAAAATGCTATCAAGTTTGTTCCAACTCATAGTAACCCTGTATAGGGTTTCCAGGAGCAGCTGATGACCTTGAACCCCAACCTTGCAGTTCAAACCAACCTTGCAGTCCAGCAAATTAATGCACAGTGCCACACCCTGGGGCTAGAAATGCCACATCTTGGAGATTCTAAGCAAGGCCCACCACAACCCCATATTTGTGTCCACACCCCATGCCAAATCAACAAAACATTTAAAGAGCAGTCCAACTGTGGTCAATATGAATGACGATAAGGTAACCAACCTCCAAGAGATCATTCTTCAGGTAGTGAGGAGAGACAAACACGGAAAACTAGAATGTAGGACTATAAAGTACTACTGCCCTGCTCTGTAGCGCACTGGTTATGAATCGGGCTGCTAACCTCAAGGCCAGCCATTCGAAACTACCAGCTGTTCCGCAGGAGAAAGATGAGGCGTTTTACTCCCAAAAAGATTTACAGCCTCAGAAACCCTGTACAGGGTCACTGTGAGTCGGAAACGACTCCACGACACATAACCACCACCACCACTGCCCTACAGAGGAGAAATCTTCCTCCTCTTCAGAGACTGAGAACTAAGCCCTGAAGGACGACATACTTGAATTTAACAGGCAAAGACAGAGAACAAGAATGGACATTCTAAACTGATGGTGATGTTGCTGTCATTGCTGTGTGCCATCGAGTAGACTCTGACTCATAGTGACCCTGTTTAGGTTTCCCAAGAGCAGCTGGTGAGATTGAAGTGCCAACCTTGCAGTCCAGTGCTTATCCTACAGCGCAATACCATGGTCCTATGATGTTGTTGTTGTTAAGTGCCATTGAGCAACCCTGTATAGGGTTTCTGAGGAGCAGCTGGTGGGTTTGAAGCACTGATCTTGCAGTTAGCAGTCCAATGCTTATCTTCTGGTGCCACGCAGTCATCTATTCCAATTCTCTGGCCCATGTGGAAGGAGATATAGAAGGAAACAAGATCGTGGGGCTGAAGACAAGAACTTGCCTATACATCCCACTTTCACCGGGCTCAGTGTATGGCGTAAGGTAGATGCTGCAGGTGTGTGAGAGAAGGCCAGTGAGGAGACACCTGAGGGCCACTGTGGCACACACGACACCTTCAGAAGTGAGCAGAGGGGACAAGACAAGGGCAACTGCAATTCTTTGGTTAGGGCAGAACCCAGAGTGGGACAAGTGGTTGGTTTCTTAGTTTGACAGTGTTGCTGTAATCAGAAATACCGCAAGTGGGTGTCTTTAATGAGTTGAAACTTATTTTCACAGTTTAGAAGGGTTAATTCAGATGACCAGCTCTAGAAGTCTCTCTTTGTGTGCACTCTGGGAGGAAATTCTTGTCTCAGCTTCTCTAGCCCCGGAATCCCTTCGTGGCAGCCATCTTCCCATGTGTGTGCTGTTTAGCTCTATGACTGTTGTTGTGAAGTGTCATCGAGGAGCAGCTAGTGAACTTGAACTGCCAACCCTGCAGTTCAAAACGACTTTGCAGTCCAGCACATTAGTCCATAGCGCCATACCAGGACCTAGTCTTTTTTAAGTATGTCAAGTTTAAAACACAACCACACAGATATGAGGAGCCCTGATGGCACTGTAGGATAAGCACTGTACTGATAACCATAAGGTCAGCAGTTCAATCCCATCAGCTGCTCCATGAGCAAAGGATGAGGCTGCCTGCTTCCATAAAAACGGACAGCCTCAGAAACCTACACACAGTGGCGGTGAGTCAGAATCAACCGATGGCACTGAGTTTATTTTGGGGGTAGCATGGTGGTTGCGAGTCGGTCTGCTAACCTCAAGGTCAGCAGTTCGAAACTACCAGCTGTTACGTGGGAGAAAGATGAAGCTTTCTGCTCCTGTAAAGATTTACAGCCTCAGAAACCCCATGTTGGGTTGCTGTGAGTAGAAGACCACCAGCATCATACCGATATAAGTTCATTAACATGTTAAAGAAAGCCCTATCTACAAATGGGATTACATCCAAGGGCATAGGGGTTAGGATTCCAACATGGATTTGGGGGGAACACATTTCAATCTACAACTGCTGGCCAAAGGGGCAGCGCTAAGAACATTCCAGAGTTGTAATCAACACAACTTGGCACATAACCTACCTCAATACATTTGTTAAGTGTTGTGGACTTAGTTCTGACTCAGGGACCCTGTATAGGGTTTCCAAGGCTGTAAATCTTTGTGGGAGCAGAAAGCCTCATCTTTCTCCCACAGAGCAACTGGTAGGCTCCAACCACCAACACTGTGGTTCAAAGTTGAGTGCTTATCCTATAGGGCCACACTGTTTCTAATAAACGAGTATTAAATAATTTCAAGACAGCCTGAGGTAAGAGTATGTAGTTTTTTATTTAGATGAATGCATAACTATAAAACAAAGATGGGGGGGGCATACATCACCACATATTAACATAAATAAGTTACTAGAACAACTTGAAGTTGAGGCTTTTCTATTTCTATAGACTTCATTCATCTGTCTACTAACTATCCACTTCATCTAGGTACTTGGAGCAAAGGCTCTGAATTTCAAACATGGGACTAAATTACAAATCCTCCGCTATTTATCTCTGTGAGTTCCCATAGAGAATCTAATCACTAATCACACTACAACAGAAGTGGAGTCCTGGTGTGCCGCTGTAGGATAGGCAATGGACTGTAAACCACAAGGTTGGCAATTCAAACCCGCCTTGGAAACACTATACACGCTCACTATGAGTCGGAATCGACTCGACAGCACTTAACACCACCACCACCAGAACTGTAGGCTAAACACCGGACTGCTAATCCCAAGGTTGCCTGTTCAAACCCACAAGCCACTCCTATACAGGATTTCTGAGTCAGAACTGATGCCACTGCTCTAAACAACAATACACCAGAACGGGGTGGCATCAACAATAACAAAAGTGGGAGAGCATGAGAGCAACATTCATTCCCTTTGGCTTCTGGGCCATCTATTCAATAGAAGACAGAGATCCCCATCCACTAAGTTAGGCTATTGTGAATCACAAAAGATATCATTTATGCAAAATAACTTTTTTAGTAAGGCATTAACAAATGTAAAGAACTATGATTCCAGAAAAAAAGGATATTACTTTTTAAGAAGTAGAAAAGATACTCCATTAGGCTTCCTTGGAAGTACTATAATTAAGATAATTACCATGATCGCTAACAGTAAATCCACACAGGTTAACTGCTCTAGGCTACAAAGTCAGTTTGAGCAGCAAGATTGGCGTTTCAAGCTCACCAGCTGCTTCTCTATGGGTCAGAACCAACTCTCCGGGACTTAACGCATCACGCAGTAATTAAAGCCTCTGCTAACTAAGGTCGGCAGATCTAACCCACCAGCCACTCCACAGGAAAATACGCAGCAGTCTGCTTCCGTGAACACTGACAATTTTGGAAATCCTATGGATTCCTGGTACCGACTTGATGGCACCTAACAACAACATCATGGACTCCTAGTATGGCACTATAGAATAAGCATTGGGCTGTGAATCACAAGATCAGCAGTTCAAACCCACCAGCTGCTCCTCAGAAACCCTATGTTGTTGTTACGTGCCGTGGAGTCGGTTCCGACTCATAGCGACCCTAAACAGGGTTTCCGAAGCTGTAAATCTTTACAGGAGCAGGGCGCCTCATCTTTCTCCCGAGGAACAGCTGGTAGTTTCAAACTGCTGACCCTGCGGTTCACAGCCCGATTCATAACCAGTACGCTACCAGAGCTCCTTATATAGTGTCATTATGAGTTCAAACTGACTTGACAGCACTTAGGAACAACAATATGGGACAGTTCTGGATTCCTGGTGTGGCGCTGTAGATGTCAGCACTGGACAGCGAACCATAAGATCAGCAGATCAAACCCATCAGCTGTTCCTCGGAAACCCTATACAGGCAGGATCGCTAGGACTCAGAATTGACTTGATAGCACTTAACAACAATATGGGGCGGTTCTACTCCATGAGTCGGAATTGACTCAGTGGGTTGGGTTGGGTTGGGTTTTATCTAAGGGCACCACACCCGCTGTTTACCGAGTGGGGGCACGACCTCACCAAGTAACAACACCACATCCACACCCGTATCTTAAAGAGCAGCATCCTCCAGTGCTTACCCTCTTTGGTTCTATCTCTCCTGTCCCGCGAGTACACTAAGGGGCGGCCGCTCTGCATGCTAAGAACCTCCTAGGAGCGAATTTCAAATATTTTGGAAAAGAGCTTTCCGTGGGCTTTCGGAGACAGTGAAAATAAGACCTCTGTGCAATCCCAAAACTCGAATATTTCCCATTTATTCATAAGGATGTCACGCTACAAATCCTTTCTAGCCCCGACCCCAAACATCAGAAACTACTAGGACCCATCGAGAAATCTTAGAAATCTCAACTTTGGAGGGTATGCCTCTAAGTGATTCTATAACCAAAATGCCTTTCTTTGGAGGGTATGCCTCTAAGTGATTCTATAACCAAAATGCCTTTAAGCAACAAGGAAGAAAGGGGTTAACCTCAGGTAAAGTGGCCACCCTTTCCCCTCTCGCACAGTCCCCATCCTGTCACGAAGGTGCCCCAAGGTAGTGCCCAACCAGGCAAAACGAGCCCATCACACGCCACGGGCAGGGGCCCCGTGTCCCAAAGGGCTCACCTTCACGTGATTCTCCACCGCCGCGCGGCCCGCTAGTTTTTTGGCCTCTTCGGCCTTGGACATTGTGGAGGGAACCGATAAAACGCGGCTGTCACCCACGTTCGTGCTGCCCGTACCTCCGCAGGAGCTAGATTGCGCGCGCCCAGGCAAGTGCACGTGTGAGCCCGGAGTGGCCCAACTGTTGCCGCCTCCACCTGAGGCCGCGCCTCCGGCCCGCCCGGGCAGTGGGGCCAGGACCCGCCCGTAGAGGGTGCTGAAGGGTCCCGGGCGCTGCATCCTGCCGCCGCGCTCCAGCCTCGGCCGCGGCCCCACCCCTGGCTCGCCCGGAAGTTTACTGTCGCGCAAACAGTCCGCGCCTGCTACTGCGCTAAGCTCGGTGGGAAATGTAGTTTCATGGTTTCAACCGTCCAAAGCGGCTCCTCGACCAGGACTATCTACCCCACAATGCTCCGCGACCGGGTGAGCAAATTTTCGGCGACGAACCAAGAGCGTCATCCAGAACGGCGCTAGTAGCAGAACTGAAGTTGTGAGAGGCACTGTCTTGGATAGGTGGGCTTAAGACACGGATCGAAGAGTCCTGGGGAGTTTTCTGTCCGCCCACGTATCCTAGAAAAGGGTTATTCCCTGCAGTGAAAACTTGGCCGTGGACCAGACCTAAAGGAGATGACTGTTGGAAACGTCCCCACAATTACGCGACAGTTGTTACGGTGTCGGGTCGTCAGTTCCAACTCACAACCCTATATAGTTTCTGAGGAGCGGCTAGTGGGTTTGAACCACTCACTGAGCTGTTAGCAATCCAGTGCTGATCCTATAATGCCACACCAGATTTCCAACGCGACTGTTGTCAGAAGTTAGTAGACTCGCTCCCCTTGGACACGCACATATGAGTTCTGGCGCCTGCTGAAGTCCATCATTAGACTCCAAGACCACAAATTTAAATCCAAGACCTGCAGTTCAAACCCACCAGCTGCTCCTTGGAAATGTTATACTGGGTGGCAGTAGGAATCGACTCGATGGCACTTAACAACATCATCTTATATGGCGTCCTGGTGTGGCGCTGCAGGATAATGGTCTGAACCGCAAGGTCACCAGCCGCTCCTCAGAAACCGACTCGATGGCACTTAACAACCACAACAACCTTATATGAATCTGAACCTATTCGACCGCGCTTAACAACAACCGTATATGTTGGAGTCCTGGTGTGGTGCTGTAGAATAAGCACTGGACTACAAGATCAATTTGAACTGCAAAGTTGAGGTTCAAAACTCACCAGCCGCTCCTCGGAAACCCTGTGCAGGGTTAATATGAGTCAGAACCAACTTGATGGCTTTTAACAACACTTAATATGTTAAGGAGCTCTGTAGATAGTGGATTACAAGCTACCAGCTACTCCTTGGAGAAAGATGAGGCTTTCTGCTCTCATAAAAAAAAATTTAAAAAAACCCTACTCCACATCCCATAACCACCACCACCTCATATGTTGTTCTGCACTTGGTGATGTCAGATGACCAACCTGAACCCAAACAGTGGTCCTTAGAAACCCTGGTCATGCTGTGGTTAAATGCTGGACTGCTAACTTAAAGGTCATTTGTTCCAAGGGAGGAAGATTTGGCAGTTTTGGAAACCTTACAGAACAGTTCTCTTCTATAGAATCACTGAATCAGAATTGAGTATACAGCTAGCAGTGGGTTCACTGAACTTATTGTGTACTTTTAAGAAGTCCTGGTATGGCACCATAGGATAAGCATTTGCCCTCAAGGTTGCTTTGAATGGCAAGGTCAGTGGTTCAAACTCACCAGGCACTCCTTGAAAACCCTATACAGGGCCACTATGAGTCGGAACCAACTCCACTTAACAACAGAGAATTCTTAGGGCTCCAATTTTGTAGGTGAAAAAACACGTTCACAACCACAACAACCACCTTAAAGTTCTTGCAGCTATGTGGCTTTTGTGCTTCTCAGCTGTATTTCTTGAATCCCTACGCAACAGTAACACTAAAACACAGACTAGAATTCTTAAGTTAATGGTGGAGAAACAATACAGGCAGCAATACAACAGTGACACGGTGTAAAGTATTGTGTCAATGAGCCATGTATGTAAAAATTTGAATTTTTACCTAAGATTATATATATGTGTGTGTATATAGCTTACGACTGTGTGGATCATGACAAGCTATGGATAACATTGTGAAGACTGGGCATTCCGGACCACTTAATTGTGCTCATGAGGAACCTGTACATAGACTAAGCGGCAGTCATTGGGACAGAACGAGGGGATAGTGGTTGGTTGGTTTAAAGTCATGAAAGGTATGCACCTTATTCAGTCTGTATGGTGAACAAATAATCTGCAAAACTGGATTAGATGAAGAAGAATGTGGCTTCAGGATCAGAGGAAGAGACTCATTAACCTATCATATGCAGATGATACAAATTTGCTTGCTGGAAGTAAAGAGAACTTAAAGTACTTAGCGATGAAGATCTAAGACAATATGGATTATACCTCAGTGTAAAGAAAACAAAATCCTCACAACTAGACCAATAAATAACATTATGATAAATGGAGAAAAGATTGAAGTTGTCAAAGATTACATTTTGCCTGGATCTATAATCAACACTCATAGAAGCAGCAGCCAAGAAATCAAAAGACATATTGCACTTAGCAAATCTGCTGCACAAGACCTCTTTTAAAGTGTTTAAGAGCAAAGACATCAGTTTGTGGACTAAGGTGTATTTGACATGGTATTTTCAGCCACCTCATATGCATGTGAAAGTTGGTCAATGAATAAGAAAGACCATAGAGAAATTAATGCATCTGAGTTATGGTTTTGGAGAAGAATATTGAAAATACCATTGAAGTGCCATCGAGTCAGTTCTAACCGATAGTGACTCTATAAGCTTTTCAAGGAATGGCTGGTGGGTTTGAACCACCAACCTTGTGGTGTTAACACACATCAGTCCATTTCTGATCTTACAGTGTCACACCAGGACTCCTAAAAGTACCATGGACTGTCAGAAAGGCAAACAAATCTGTGTTGGAAGAAGTACAGCCAGATGCTCCTTAGAAGCCAAGATGGCGAAGTTTTGTCTCTCATACTTTGAATATGTCATCAGGAGGGAGCAGTCCCTGGAGAAGGACATTCATGCTTGGTAAACTGGAGGGTCAGTGAGAAAGAGGAAGACTCCCAATGAGATGGACTGGCACAGTGGCAGCAGTAATGAACTCAAGCATAACGACAATTGTGAGAATGATGCAGGATTTCATTTTGTTGTGCATTGGGTTGCTATGAGTTGGAACCAACTTGCTGTTACCTAACAAAAATGTGTGTGTGTGTGCGTATCTGAGAAGAGGATCCATGCTTTTTCTATACAGCCTCCTTCATTCTAAGAGAAGTGCCCAACATGGAGATGGTCCTTAATGTATGCTAGATGCATGACTGAATAATTAATATATTTCATGCCTTAAACCCACTGTCTGCCTTCAGCCACAGAGAATTTCAGTCTCTGCACACAGTATTGTGCCTTTATGACATTGCACACACTGTGCCTTTCTAACTCCCAAATGTTCTTCAGAACGCCACTCAATCACTTGTTCTCTGCAAACCTGAACCCCTCTACTAGTTGGGTTAGCGGCTCCTCAGAACTTTGTGCCTCCCTCTGTTAGAGTCAATCTTGCTCTAGTCTCTTGACTGTCCTGGTCAAAAGATTACAAGTCCCTGATGGCAAAAGCTGTCTTCTGTGTAAAATGCTCACGCCTGGCTTGACTATTTCTTTGGGAGTGACCATTGTTCCTCAAAGGCCTACATGTCTGTGCCTCTTGGTTTTTATTTCTTCTTCCACTTCTCTCCAATCCATGTGCATTTCTCCATTCTTGCCTCTTTTGAGTCCTTCTACTTATTATGTTTTCCAATGATACCCAGTGACTTTAACGGCCATTGTGAAATCTGTTAGCTTTGGGGACTAATGAATGCTGATTCTTAGAAAAATATATGCACTGTGTTCCTGTAACACTTCATCTTGATATTTATTGGTAATAGTGTGAGGAACCATGCCAAATGCTGTGGTGGAACTAGACGTTATCACATTTAATCTCAATTCTAAGAAGTGGGTACTGTTATCTCTGTTGTTCAGAAAAAACAACAACACTGTAATCCTGATCTACCCATGGCCCCCTGCTTCTGGGACCAAGTAAAGTTCTACTGCAAATCATCAGTGACTCAAAGACCAAACCTTGCACTACTAGATGTACCTATATAAAGATTTCCTAATCACCTCACCCCAATAAAGCTCTAAACTTTGTACAGGCCACACAAGCAATGCCTTTTCTTTTTAAAAGTTCAAGTAATAGCAATGAACCATAAAAAAAAAAAAAATGATTAATAAGGGAGGAAAAGAAAACCTATAAATGAAGGGACATGTACATTGCTGAATATTGGGCTAAGAATATCAACAAGAATGATTCCAATCTGCTTTATAATATTTGTTGTTGTTAAGTGCCATTGAGTCAGTTCTGACTCAAAGACTCTATACAGAGTTTCTGAAGAGTGGCTGTTGAGTGTGAACCACTGACCCTGCGGTTCAAACTGACCTTGCAGTCCAGTGCATTATCCTGCGGGACCACACCAGGACTTATAATATTTGTTGTTGTTATGTGCCTTGGAGTCGGTTCCGACTCATAGTGACCCTGTAGAGGTTTTCCGAGGCTGTAAATCTTTACTGGAGCAGAAAGCCTCATCTTTCTCCTGCGGAACAACTGGTAGTTCCAAAGTGCTGACCTTAAGGTTTCTTGTTGTTGTTATGTGCCGTGGAGTTGGTTCTGACTCATACCAACCCCGTACAGGGTTTCCAAGGCTGTAAATCTTTACGGGAACAGAAAGCCTCATCTTTCTCCCACAGAACAGCTAGTAGTTTCGTACTGCTGACCTTGCGGTTCGCAGCCTGATTCGTAACCGCTACACAACTTTAAGGTTTACAACCCACTAAAAAGTTTGAAAGTATGGTGGTTCTGTAGGGCAAAACTGGACTGCAAATGACAAAGTCAGTGATTTGAGCCCACCAGCACCTCCTCAGGAGATAGAGAAGGCTTTCTGCTTCCACAGATTTACAGCCTTAGAAACCCTGTAAAGGGTCACAATGAGTTGGAACTGATTAAGCCCATCTTTTTTCTAGATTGCTCACAATGGAGAAAATCACATGGGGTTCATCCTTCCTTCTTTAATGGAACATGACGCCCTTGAAAAACAAGTTTTCAGAGCCAAATGAAAGACCCCTGTGGGACAG